GTGAGATTCAAGAAAAATCTTCTAGAAAAAATCACATGGAGAAGTATAGAGGGAGCAACCAGTGCAAAGGCCATAAGGTGAAAGTAGCCAGTTCCTTAAGTTTTCAAAGAGCAGCAAGAAAGCTGATGTGGCTGGGAGGAATGAGGAAGAAGGAAGGGCAGTGTGGTAAGAGAACACCAAAGGGATAAAGTGGCATCTAGATCAAGGAAGCACCTGGTAGGCTACAGTATGGACTTTGGTTTTTACTCCATGTGATTTGAGAGTCACGGGAGCCACTGGAAGACTTTAAGCAAGGAAGTGACAGGATCTGGCTTCTGTTTCAAAGGGATCATTCATATTGAGAATAGGCTGTAGGTGGGTAAGTGTAGAAGCAAGGAAACCATCTAGAAGACTATTTCAAGAATCTAGATGAGCACTAATGGAGATTGGAAATAGAATAATAGTGGTGGAGGTAGTGAGAAGCTGCTAGTTTGTACATATTTGGAGGAGAAGTCAAGATTTGCTGATGGATGGGTGCCTGGGTGGCTCAGTTGGTTAAGTGACTGCCTTCAGCTCAGATCATGATCCTGGAGTCCCAGGATCGAGTCCCACATTAGGCTCCCTGCTCAGCAGGGAGCCTGCTTCTCCCTCTGACCTTCCCTCCTCTCATGCTCTCTGTCTCTCTCTCCCTCTCTCTCAAATAAATAAATGGATAAATAAATTTTAAAAAAGAAGAAGATTTGCTCATGGATCAATTGTGAGTGATATGGGCTGTACCAATATATAAAAGGATAAAGTGCAGATGGAGCACTCAGGTAGAAGGAATCAAAGGTCAACTTTTAGACATGTTAAGATTGAGATATCCATTAGACATGCAAGTAGAGCTGTTGAGTGGATAAATGGATATGCAAGTCTAGAGTCAAGGAAGAGGTCAAGGCTGGAATTAGAAATGTATGAGTAATAAACATATAAGTGGAATTTAAATTCATGAGAATGAATGAGGCCATCAAGGTGTTAAGTGAACATAAAGTTCAGAAGGAGATCCAAGGTGGATCTCTGAGGTGCTCCAATGCTGAGAGGACAGCAAGATGCAGGGGATTCAGCAAAGGAGAATGAAAAGGAGTAGTCACTGGGATTGGTGGAAACCCAAGAAAGTATAATGCCCCAGAAGCCAAGTAAATAGTTTCAGAGAGGAGGAAGTGATTCACCATGACAAATGATGCCGATGGATCAAAAGAGGAAGACTTAAAAATAACCACTGGACTTTGTAATATGGACATCATTAGTGACTATGACAAGAGCATTATGGTTGGACTGATAAAATCTAGATCACGATTTAAATGAGTTTAAGAGAAATGGGAAGAAAGAAATTACAGAACAGCCAAAGGATAGAAACTTCTTAAGTTTTGCTTGAAAGGGGAACAAAGAAACAGGACAGTAGCAAGAGGGAAGGGGTATCAATATAATTTATATTTATATATTAGGCTGATGGGAATTTTCTAGTTCAGGTGAACATTTGACAATTCAGGAGAGAGAAGAGTATCATTAGAATAAAGTCCCCCAGTAGGTGGATAAGAGAGAATCTGGTCCCCAAGGAGAAGCAGACATAGAAGTAAGGATGTCCATAGGGATGTAGAGGTGGGGCCCTGAGGACCTTTATGTCACTGCTTCTTTCAAGTAAGGGAAGAGCTGATAACCACTTTAGACTTGGCCAAGACTGTCCTACTAAGGAAACTTTAGTGACCTTCACTCATATCCACAAGAAAATGATACTCCTTTCTTTTTATCCATGAAGAGTCTAAGCAGAGATTTACAGCTCACTCCCATAAGGCCTATCAATAGTCAGGGGTGAACCAGATTTCCAAACCCTCATTCCCTTAACAGCAGCCCATGTGGTATTCATTTACTCTCTCCCATCATCTTCCCCTCAATCCCAGGTATTTTTCTAAGTACTTTCTAAATTTTGAGAGTTGGTAAGTAGAGGAGAAAATGTGCAGTTTCCAAGTCCTGCCCAAAATCCAAGTTTCAATCATGTCTCACAACTTATAAATTCCATGAACATGAATAATGTCTTCAAGTCATAATGCCCCATTTTCCACAGGACTCCTACTCATATATTCTTATGAATAAGTCAATAATTTATAAATTGTAACTCCTGATACAAAATCCTGTGTTTTGATTCTTTTCTCTCTCTTCCATGTTGTCCCTATTCTGAATGCCACAGTGATACACAAGAGCATACATTATGGATACACATCCAGTAAAATTCCTTGCAAACTTGCCTACATTCAATTATCTTCAGTATATATACATTTGTGAGATCTATTCATCAATTTTAACTACTAAATGCCTTCAAGAAAACATGCATACGATTTCCAACAAACTTTCTCAAAATTTATCTTTTGCCCATGAAGTATTTATTAAAGGGTGATCTCTAGAGTTTCCAGCAAGCACTTGATTATTTTGTTGTATTTTACCAGTTTAAAGATTTCTATCTGCTCCATTTTTTTAGTAGGTACGTATGCACTTGGGTCTCAATTAAATTATGAAACCCAGTGTAGTTTTGAGTCTGTACACATTGCAAAGCCTGCAATTATATACATTCCGAAGATTCGGTGCTGGTTCAATGATATATTGTGCACACAAAACACATTAAACACATATTACGACACAGTTGCAAGGTTTTCTTCACAGAAATCCATAAGGACATTTCATCTCCAAAAAGTGCCTTTTGCTGTAGGGTTTTTTAAAAATCATTTTGTAGTGAAAAATTAAATACTGGTTTCTTTGATGTGCTAGTTTCACTGAAAGAATATATTACTAGAGAATGCTTACTATTTTTATAACCATATTGCACTTAAAATCCTCTTGAAAAAAATTTTTTCATTTGTTTTTGTTGTAGTTCTGGGCAAGGGGTGATAAAAAATCTTTACAGTCCAGGCAATCATATTGAGAACAAAGGGCAGGTGTCATTTTTTATTGTGATTGGCCAGCACTGAAACCAGGACTTTTTCCCTCTCTCTAGAAACTATCGTGGAATTTACAGTAATCACCCTGGCTGACTGCCCATCATAGAGCTGAACAGCACAACAACAACAAAAAAATATCTTGGGAGAAAGCCATGACATATTTTTAAAATTCTCATTGTTTTTACTGTTCAACTTTGAAAGATTTTTTTTTAAGAGAAAAGAAAAAACTCACCCAGCTGTTACCACTATTCGTATTCCAATGGCCCCCAAAGTGCTCAAAGCCACCTGGTTGACTTTTGCCTTGGAGCCGGTCCAGGAAAACATTATTTACCCTTTAAACAATGAAAAATATGTGTAAGTGGAAAGCTTGCTACAGGGTTGAGAGATTTTTGAGAACCTAACATGCTGTATGAACTGTGAGGATTGCTTCCCCAACCCCCGCTCAGCTTAGAAGTAATCTGTAGAGACTTCTTTTCACATTAGCCATATGAAATGCTGTTAACAGCCCTTCGCCAGTTGTGACTCCAGCAAGAGGGGACACAATTCTGAACTCAGAACTTCATTCCTTCATCTTCTACCAGTTCTGCAAGAGCCTTATTCCCTAGCAACCATACCCCTCCAAGACCAGCCAGGTGCAAAATCTAGAGGCTGAGAAGAGATGGAAGCTTTGGAAAGACCTGAAACATGAAGGGGAACTAAAAATAGCTCTGTGGTACTATTGTTGCAATGGAGATGTCCCTCCCAAATGACCTGTACCCCACTGCCAGTCTTGCTAAAGTAAATCCCATAAGTGCAAATTAGAAGGAAAATGGGAAGAGATTCATATTAGAAATGGGAAATATCAAAAGAGGGAAACTCAAGTTTTCAAAAGAAAGAATGGGTATATCCTTCCCTGATGTTTGGTCATACTTGCAGTAACCAATTTCAGAAATTAAGGTTAACACGTAGAAGGTAAAACCTTAAGGAAAGGCAAGAAAATGATTATTATAGAGGTCAGAATAAGGGTTAACAGTAGAGTGATGGTTATATTCTATATCTGGAGCTGGCTACTTGAATGTTCACTCTCTAATTAATCATTCTAAATATTTATTTCATGGACTTCCCTGTGTATTATAAAATATAAAAAAATTAAAACTTTCCATGGCCACCATTCTAGTCCAAATCACTATCCTCTCTCTTCTTGCTTTTGCTTCCACTCCCACCCTCTGTAATTCATTCTCCACACAACTACCTTACTAAATTATAAAAGGGATCATGCCTTCCTTTTGCTTAAAACCCTCCTATGATCTTCCATTAGTCTTTTTAATTTTTTTATTTTAAATTTACTTTAATTAACATATAGCATATTAATTTCAGAGTAGAATTTAGTGATTCATCAGTTGTATATAACCACAAGTGCTCATTCTATAAAGTGTCCTCCTTAATGCCCATCATCCAGTTATCCCATCCCCCCAAACACCTCCCCTCCAACAACTGTCAGTTTATTTCCTATAGTTAAGAGTCTCTTATGATTTCCCATTAGTCTTAGAACAAAATACTGGCTTGTAAAATCTTGTATTTTCTGGTTCCTGCCAATCTCATTTTATCTTATTCTCTTCCTCACCATCTATAATCCAGCCACTTGAGACTCAAGTCCAAACTCATTCCCACTTGAGGGCCTTTGCATTTTTTCCTATACCTAATAATAGGGGATATCTACAATGTGACTGTCTCTTGTCCTTTGATGTTAACTCTTCATGGAGGAACTACCAACTTCAATCTCTCTCCTCACAGTACATATCATTGTCTGAAATACTCTTGCTATTAACTTGTTGACTTCTATTTCTTTTCTCCAGATTGTAATTTCCATGCAGTTAGGGATGTTCTCTGCTATTTTATGCCTATTATCAATGCCTAGAACAAAACCTTCACAGAGCCTTGTCCTGATAGGTAAGAAGAGAATGAATGAATCATCCAGGTGTGTGGTCCCCATATCTGCTTGCTTCTGTGACTACAGCTGCATCAAGAAACCACCAATGGTGGTGAGTATAGGCTGCAAAATGGCCCAATGTCCACAGCTCTTAGTTCGTTCACACACTGTCAAAACTGATGTCTTATCATGGATGCAGGTGGTACAATTCACTTTTGGCCATCAGTTACTAGGAGGACAGCACAGTGGGTCAACAAGAGCCCATAGGTGGTAAAGAGATTGTGTTTTTTCTCAATTCCTATTGAGAATTCAAAGAGAAGAAAAAAGTACCAACTTATAGATTTGTTTACTAGTGTTAGAAAGAACATACATTTTATTGCTGTCAAACCACTGCTCTGGCTTTTCTTCTAAGGGTTAATATGGATAAAAACTACTATTTAAGGATGGTTCAAGTTTCAGTAAATCAGTTCAGTTCATTCCACTTTTCAACTCATAGCTCAGATCTTTTCAAGTCCTCCCCCATGCTTTGTCTTTTCTCTCTGAGGTTTCGACTTTCTTCTCTCACTTAGAAAGTTACCATGGGTCAGGTTCCGGTGCAGCCAGGCTCAATCAATATAGGATGCATTGAAAAGCTTGTGAGGAATTCCACAAGCTTTCTGTTATAAAACTCAGAGTTGAGTTTTCTGCTATGTCAACTTCTAAATGGTAGAAAGCATGTTGTCTTTTTGACTCTAATAAAATTATATCCCTGGAGAAAATCTAACTTATGGCCCTTACACACACACACATGTGCGTGTGTGCATACACACACATCCTCACAGAGCTTGTGCTGTTGCCCTCAGCAGGAATAGTCAGGGATTTTATTCGTTCAGAGGCTATTGAATGAGTGTTTTCATTTAACATGCAAGAGCTTACTTTAAACTCTAAAGGGCAATATAAACATATGCTCTCCTCAAAAACTGACTGAGAACATAAAATATGTGTTCAAAAACTTGATCAGTTACCTCAAAACTGGTTACTGAGGTTATAACCCGGAGAGATTTCCTCTTAGATTAAATTTGCATCTATATTTAACTAGAATCAATAAAAAGAAAAAATAATGTGTAGAAAATAAATAACCCCACCAAAATTTAGGTATCCAGTATTATGGAAATAAAGAATGAGGGTCAAGTTTCCCACAACAAGAAATTAATCCTTTCTACCTCTTACCAAATAACTTGCGTTTTTATTGGATGCCCACTGAACATGAATTTCTTAGCCAAGAGGGCCTATTAATGTAACATATCGCACTATCTTTAAGATGCTTAAAGCTTTACAATCTAATCAATCCTCAGAAATCCAGAGAAATAACTGGCTACTACTAACAACCAGTGTTAAAAAAAATGCACTATAGGTTTTTTAGTAGAAAGAATTTTAAAGAGAAAATGAGAAGAACCAGGGGCACTTGAGTGGCTCAGTCGGTTAAATGTCTGCCTTCGGCTCAGGTCATGATCCCAGGATTCTGGGATCAAGTCTCACATTGGGCTCCCTGCTTATTGAGGAGCCTGCTTCTCCCTTTCCCTCTGCCTGCTGTCCCCCTGCTTCTGCTCACTCTGTCAAATAAATAAAATCTTAAAAAAAAAAAAAAAGTTTTTAGAAAATGAGAAAAACCATAAGGAAAAACAATAGGTAGCAGTAATTGCTACCCCTCACCCCCAAAAATAGCCTAACCAATGCATCAGAATTCTGATGTTTTCTTTTAGTCAGAGAAAACCACCTAAATTCACACTTGACATTTTAAAACTATTTTGATAGACTATGTAAGTAAAATAATCAGGTCAAAAAAATATGAGTACCCATCCATAGTTCACAGCTCCAGCAGAATTGGGAGCTTCCATTAACACTCTGTAAATTCTCAATTAAAAAATGAACACAACTAAAAACTACACATTAGCAACAGTGGGAAGGTTAAACGTATAAGTGACACCACTCAGTTTCAAAAGAACTTGCTCTCTTATATCATGAAACCCTTTACATTAAATTCTTCTGAGATTCTCAAGCACATTGCAATAAACTCAGAAAAACCAAGCGCCCCCCAGGAAAATCCTAGAATAATGATAGATATGGAGGTTATTAGCAATGGCCCAACATTAACATGATATTTTACTGGGTGCTCTTAATGTCTGATATTAGGAATAAGAGAGTACTTACAATGTTAAAAATTGTTTAATGGTTTCTATTTTAAGATATTTTTCCTAATATGTTAGTCAATATAAAATAGTTCTTGTCTGACCTTTCGTATTCAAGTATGAGTATCTCACCCTCTATACAAGTTCAGTTATTCTAAAGTTGTGTACAAATAGTAAAAGATCATCTCAAAGTAATAAGATACTTTGTCCCATGGGAGACAAATTAATTATCACCTAAATAAACAAATAGCTTGACAGCATGATTCCGTTTTCTAGTATGAATTTTTGCCACCTCCCCAGAAAAGCTGGATATTTTCTGTCTATGTATGAAAAATCAGATCGTGTATGTGTATGTATATGTATACATATGTAGCAGTTGACATTCTCACATACATAACATGCCCCAATAATATAAAGTTAAAAAGGTAATATAGATTCCAAAACCATATTCAATATGATTATAGTACTTTCTTAAAACATTGCAAAAACTGGGTGCCTGGGTGGCTCAGTGGGTTAAGCCGCTGCCTTCGGCTCAGGTCATGATCTCAGGGTCCTGGGATCGAGTCCCGCATCGGGCTCTCTGCTCAGCAGGGAACCTGCTTCCCTCTCTCTCTCTCTCTCTCTCTCTGCCTGCCTCTCCGTCTACTTGTGATCTCTCTCTGTCAAATAAATAAATAAAATCTTTAAAAAAAAAAAACATTGCAAAAACTTTATAGGTAGTTATTTTAATCAAGCATGCTTATTTTATTAGCCATTTATACCTCCTGTGTTCAGCTTGGTGAGTTTTGGTCCTTTCTTCCTCCTGTTGTTGTTGCTTAAATTCCAGTAATTCACTCTAAGAACAATAAAAATTTTAAAATATGTCTTTCAATTAACATTGTTGTACAGAAGATACCCAAATCAATTACATATTTAACCTGAGCTGGTATACTATTTCATTTTTGAAACTTTTACTTAAGTACCATTTCCATGTGAAATTATGTTCTTATGTAATTAGGTAGCAAAAATTGTACCTTAGTCAAACAATAGCTCTGGGAGTATAAAATTATAAGATTAAAACGCCAATGTGCATGCTCAAGATATTAGACTAATAGGTACAACATACACAGAAGAAAATACAACATGAGTCAAACTCACCTATGTCTTACAAAGAAAAATCAAATCAGTTCTTCAAGAAATGTCACACAATACTATTTCCTGGTATTTCTCTAGCATTTCTTTCCCAACAAATTTATAGCAGCTTACAAATAAATGGTGAACTCAATTCTGTAGTGCAATTCCATTAGTAAAATATCCTCCCTCCTGGAGAATAATCAACTTACCTGTTATTGACTAGTTACTTCTAATATCAGCAGAACTTTGGACTCCCTAGAGGGGATACTTTGCTTCGGGTAGGAGATCATGTTACTACAACTAAATCTCTGCTTCTGACATTCTGATTATCTTCCTAGAAGACGCAACCTTCAACTTACTCTGTTTATGGTGTTAAGCCAAAGAACTAGGTGCCAGCATTTCCCTAGTATTCAATTGCGTTCCTTGAAGCAGACTGATTTTTTAACCTCTTTCAAAGACAGGAAAAGGCAGAGGGATGAAAATTATCAGAACTATGTCATAAATTAGGGCCTGAGTCAGAGAATTTTCTAGTAGAGAAAATACTGACACATCTTAATAAACACATGCCAACACATGTATTTTTTTAAGCACAAAATGTCCTTGATAAAAAGTATAAAATAGTGGGGGGAGGAGTCAAGATGGCGGAGAAGTAGCAGGCTGAGACTACGTCAGGTAGCGGGAGATCAGCTAGATAGCTTATCTAAAGATTGCAAACATCTACAAATCCAACGGGAGATCGAAGAGAAGAAGAACAGCAATTCTAGAAACAGAAAATCAACCACTTTCTAAAAGGTAGGACTGGCGGAGAAGTGAATCCAAAGCGACTGGGAAGATAGACAGCGGGGGGAGGGGCCGGCTCCCAGCAAGCGGCGGAGCAACGGAGCACAAAATCGGGACTTTTAAAAGTCTGTTCCACTGAGGGACATCGCTCCAGAGGCTTAACCGGGGTGAAGCCCGCGCGGGGTCAGCGTGGCCTCAGGTCCCGCAGGTTCACAGAAGGATCGGGGGTGTCTGAGTGTCGCAGAGCTTACAGGTATTAGA